TTGCCGAGCTATGTCTTCAATGTCATCCATTTTTCTATTGTATCGTTCGGGGTTAGATAACAACTGAATATGGTGCATTTTTTAAGTTGCACATATACGTAGCAGCTACCTCTGCCATCACCGAGACATCGTATGTCATCCGCAGCTGGGATCCATATAGCTGCAGTCTTATCTTCATTTTCCAGCCAGATACCGGGTTATTTCACTCTATATTGTTCGCAGATTATAACCACATCCACGCAATGTTTGAGCACTATTTGAGACAGCTGGTCATCTGTTATACGGCTCTGTGAAGGTTTGCTTGTAGGATTTGGGCTTTGTGGGAACTGGCTGCGCAGTTACTCGTCCCAGGGAAATGATTGAGATCCGCGCGGTTTTCATATGCACACAGGCATTATTTCGGTGTCTTCATGCAGTTTCTCATCTTGTACCCCGGCTCTTCACACCTATTACAGAGATCTCTCCTATCTGGTCCCGAGCAATCCTTTTGTAGGTGGCCTACCCCAAAGCATCTGAAGCAGCGTGTAACTTCGATGCACCGTTTCACTCGGCATCGCGTCCATTGAATCTTGATTTTGGCTCCTTGCTGCTTCTTCTGTTGGCAATATAACGAACGCACGTTTTTGCTCAGAATTGTTTGCGCCAAGCTTCCTTGACTCTCTCTATTTCGACAGTCAACCAGCTTTTCCTGTAGTTTTCGACAATATCAAGGAGTTCGCTCAGCTCTGACGCTCCGTCTTTAACATCCATACTGATGTTTCGCTGCCTTAGCATCGCATGCTTAATTTTTCGATCGTTTCCTCTTCTAGGGCTCTCATTTTATAGATGAGCTCTTGTCTTGGGGAGCCTACCGTAGGTCTGACATTTTGGGATGAAGGGGTTTGCTGATCCTCGTCCAACCACTTGCGCCGTCTTTCCTTCTTCTGTAACGCCTTGATCTGGCGACTTTATAATTTGTCTAGTCTTCTGGAATGCTGCTCTCTTTCCTTCAGAGGCAGTTAGCAACATGAACGCGGAAGCGTTGAGAAATCACTGCTTTATTGTGAGTAGGAGAAATAGCTGAGGGCATTTCAGATCTACGCTGAATCAGAGGAGATCACTGCGGGCAAGCAAAAGAGGACGAAGATACTTAATCGAGGTGGAACGCAGTTACAATCTGTAGAGTATTCACTACCAGGCGCCTTGGTCGAATTCAACGGTGCTGATATTTAGGAGTTTGATTCCATCTGGTTACTAGAGCAAATCCAGCCATTTTGAGAAAAATTAACCTCTACCGACATTTAAAGCGTTCATGACTTTTTTCTCCAGGCAAGACCTCAAGGACGCATAACACCAGCTAAAGCTAGACGAGAAAAAACCAACATTGTTTATAACTCCACTTGGATTATTTCGTTATAAGCGTTTGATGCCACCACAGATATTCCAAAGGAGACTGGAGCAATTACTGTCAGCACCCACAAAAGAAAAGAGTTTGCGGCATTCTACAAAGAATCTAAGATAAACGTTTTGGGACACATATAATGGTTGCATTGAGGCCGATCCAGAGGAGATTAACACCATCACATGCTTTCGCCCTCCAAGGAACAAGAAGGAGACTCGCAATTTTCTAGGGCTTGTAAGAGAGAGTGTCCTGCTTCTGCTCGAAGTTGCTGGCTTTCGTTGAATATTGTTTCTGGGTCGTACTTGGCCTACCTTTGTAAACAAAATAAGACTCGGCTGCATCACGAAGTTGTTTCATTGTTGAGAAATGAATTGCTGCAATACTATTTTGCAATTCTCGATGCTGTAGACCTGAGCGAACATATCTGATGATCGCTGCCTCGCTGAGCTTGTACCGCACCCCAAGGGCTGAAGTCCTGAAACAGTACTCCTTTACCGTCTCTTTTGATCGCCTGGTTGCATTGGCCATGTTGAATTGCACTTCTGCTTCGTCTGGATTGGCGCCGAACTCATCCTGTATAGCATCGGCGAAGTGCTTCCACGTAGTATGTAGAACGGGTGATGAATCTAGCCACATCTTGGCTGGACCTTTTAGCCTGGTATAAATGGCAAGTAACAGGAACTTCTCGTCCCACAGGTAGGCATCAACCACTTTGTTGACACGATCGATGAACTTGTAAGGATCCGTTTAGCTGGGGTCGGCGTCTCAGTCCGCCCAGGATCCTCATCAGATAAAATTTGTTATCTTCGAGACAGTTGGGGGGCGGGTATCACTATGTTTTCTTTGATAAATTTTTACTCGGGTCACCGAGTCGTGTACAAAACGCTGTCGACCGGCCTGGACATGCACCGGCGGCCACATAGCGGCTGACACTACAGTGAAAACTCTATGAAAATGCCTGGGGAGATATACTAGTGGCACAAACTATTGCGAACAGGCCCGGAATACTCGCAGACGGCACTGTCGTTGCTAACCCTGCTAAGAAAAACCTCTACGAAAATGCCCGGAATACTCGCAGACGGCATAATCGGAGGTAACACTGGCGCAGACGGCACTGTCGCAGCTAATCCAGCTGAGAAAAACCTCTACGAAAATGACCGGAATACTCGCAGACGGCATAATCGGAGGTAACACTGGTGGCCCTAATTATTGCGAACAGGCCCGGAATACTCACAGACGGCACTGTCGCAGCTAACCCTGCTGAGAATAACCTCTACGAAAATGCCCGGAATACTCGCAGACGGCATAATCGGAGGTAACACTGGTGGCTCTAATTATTGCGAACAGGCCCGGAATACTCACAGACGGCACTGTCGCAGCTAACCCTGCTGAGAAAAACCTCTACGAAAATGCCCGGAATACTCGCAGACGGCATAATCGGAGGTAACTCTGGCTGCACAAAGCATTTTAGCGTTTTGATTTTGAGTTACTCTAGTTTTATTTCAATGGGTTCCTTTCCTAAGCCCTGTCTGTCCATGTCGTACTCATTATGCTCACCCTGCTTGCCGAAGCCAGTGTCCTTGTGTTTTCGCTCTGCGTTCTGTTTTCTCCTTCGCCACGTGCCTCGAGGACTTGCCTTTTTTGGGTTCCAATCTTCTCGTGCGCCACAATTTTTAACCTCACGCTCGTCGTTCCCGCTTCAAGTCTCTCATCACAGTGTGGCCGTTGCTCTCTTTGCTAGAAAACCTTTCCTGTGGTATTTCGTCGTGGTGGCTTCCTTTTGGTATTTTCTGTGGCGTGATCGTGGTTTGTGTACTGACTTCGGCGGGGAAACTTAACTATTCTCCTAGCTTATTCGATAGTTTTGGCGGCCACTTAAATCTAATTCAAATTATCAACTTCATAATTAATGTCTCTTAACCTATTGCTTTAACTTAGATCTAACAAAATCATAAATATTATATTTAAAAGTAAAAAATGTGATTCTTCCAACCCCCCCTTTACTTCGGGGTGGGGTGTGGATGGACCGTGACGCGCCCGCTTTTGGACAAGTGGATCCGGTATTGTGTTCCCTCGACTCTCTCCCCGCGTCGTTTGTACCTCATCCGTGGTTGCGCTAATTCCCGTTCAATCTGGGTTCGGAGCATGGTCGGGATCTCACGTCTGGCCGTCTCGACCCGCCTCTGGTACGGGGCCACTACTATGGATGGTTCCTGGTGCTCGACCGTGCTTGTGGGTGGTCTGGTCGGTCCAGGCCTCGGCTCAGGTGAACTGTCTGTGGACGAGTTGCTCCTTGACCGGACGGCTCGGCGACGATGACTGGATCTTATGCCGGACACTGGGCACTCGATCTCGCGCACGGCCCCGCAAGCGACCTCTTCCTTTGTCTGGTGGACAGTTTCCATACGTTGCCGTTGAACCCTTGCCCTGGCTCCATCGTGTCTTCCTCTTAGTGGCCGCTTAAGGTTGCGCCGTGTCGGGGTTACCCCTGGGCGTTCGGGTGTCGTCGGGGTCCGAAGCATGGAGGTTTCGCCGTTGCGCCCTGGCTGCTTGGCTGGAGGTACTGGGGCCATCGAACAGCTGTTCGTTGGTGGTGACTCCTTCGACCCTTGGTACGGCGATACCCGGTGACGGCAGGTGCTTCCAAGCCATCGTGCGAGGGCTATCGTAGGGAACTGGTCCATATAGTTCCTGATAGGACGGTGGTGGGGGGACCTGTCGTGGCTTCGTCTCCCTCCACAGGGGTGGGCGGTAGTCGTTGGAGTCCGAGAGCTCGATGATTGCGACTGGAGTAGTGAGGGATGACTTCGCTCCGGACGCCGTACTTGCGTTCGTCGTGGCGTAGTCTCTGATTCGTCGGCGCTGGAAATGTCTTCATACCGCGGAGGTAGGGTAGCCATTTCGACGGGAGTGGGCCACACGGCGACGCTGGACATCTCTCCAGTAATAGCCAGCACAGCGGCGCTGGGCAACTCGCCAGTAGTGGCCAGCTCAGCGGTGCTGGGCAACTCGCCAGTAGTGCCCAGCAGGGTATCGTGGGACAATTCGCCAATAATGGACAGCACGACGTCGCTAGGCCTTGGCGGGGTCGGGTTGCGGTAGTTTCCGAATCGGCCGTCTGGTTCCACGTCCATGTCGCTGGCGCTCCCAAAGTGCTCTCCTATTGGGGCGCAGAGGTCGAGCACGTCGTCGATGGAAAGACCGGTGGCCTCAGCCTCTTGCATGAGTTCGTCCGGTTCCCACAGCGGGTCAGTCAGGAGGTCTCTCATAGAATGCTGTAGAGCCTCGACCATCTGATTGGTGATGACGTCGTAGTCGTCGTCGTCGTCGGCCATTGTGCCCGCCCCTGGGCGTATCGGATCCCTGGAACTCATGGAGGTGTGGGGAAAGAAACTTAGTATATCTTAAATACTCGATGTCCCTATGAGTGCGATTGTCTAAACTAAACCTAACTCCTTCCTACGTAACTCATTTGTATGCATTATCTTCACAATGTTTTCTAAGTATTAAATAGTAATAATAAACGTCGGTGGCGAAATGATTTGGTAGCCTGTCACTGAGTTCCCCTGGCGGGGAGGGACGTTGGGTAGTCGCGACTACCAGCAAGTGGCCCCACTACTCAGGACGTGGCTTTCTCGATGGCATCAGGGTGCTCGTCGTCGTCGGTGTCGTGATATTCCTTTATGTCACTTAGGCCGACTGTACGTCGCCGTCGACTCCCAGGAACCTGTAATTGTAAAGGATTAGGAGACAGGAACTTGTGCACAGTGTATGGTCCGTCGTATTTGGCCGCAAGTTTTGCGGTGTATCCCTCTGAGGCCTTCGATAACACGTGACGGCGGAGAAGTACTAGTGATCCCACGGGGGGTCGCCATTCCCGGCGTCTGAGATTGTAGTGTCGTCTCTGTTCGTCCGATGCTCGCTCGCTGTTGTCCTTGACGATCCGGAACAATTCCCGCATCTGCTCTGCCTTTTCTCCGGGTGGTGGTTGATTCGACGTGTGGTCAGGTGTGGCTTGATCGAATAGGGTTTTGGGTAGTCTCGGTTCCCTCCCTTGCATGATGAAGGCGGGGCTGAACCCTGTTGTGTCCGAAATGTCCGAGTTTATGGTCAACGAAAGTTCGGGGAGCAGTTCATCCCAAGTGTTTTGTTCGGCTTCATCCAAGTACAGGGCCAGCATTGTTTTTATGGTCCTGTTTGCCCTCTCTGTTGGGTTTTGTTGGGGCGTGTAGGGAGCCGTGTGATGAAGTTCCATTCAAAGACTTTTACATAATGTTTTAAAAGACCGTCTTGTGTACTGGATCCCGTTGTCACATACGGGGAACTCCAAAGCGGCTTAAAATTCTGTCTCGAAATGATCGCTCTAGATGGGGTGTGGTCGCTCTACACACTTAGTGAATGCGTCCAAAAATACCAATTGCATGGTATTTCCGTGAAGAGAACGTGGAAAAGGGCCCATGAAGGCTGCACATACTACGCTGAATGGTTCTTTGACTTAGCGTGTGAACATCCGGCCGGCGGGTTTAAGTTGGCTTACCTTGTATTTCTGGCAAGTGCGACACCGTCGTACATACTTTGTAACTTCTATGAAAAGTCCTGGCCAGTAATACTTTTGTGCTACGCGTTTGCTGGTTTTCCGTGTGCCCAGTTGTCCGGCTGTTGGGTGATCGTGGCACTCCTGCAAGACCCGTTGGCGGTACTCCTGGCCGACACATAGTTACCACGGGACTTGATCTTAATACACCCCAGATAGCAACCTTCAATCCGATAGTCTGGAAATTTTTCAGGTTCTTGAGTTACCTGTAGCGTCATCTTACATATCCACTTGCACTGGGATGGCTCCACATCGACTTGTCGCACCGTGTCCAAGGGTTGGCGCGAGAGAGCGTCCGCAACTAAGTTAAACTTTCCGCGTCGATATTGAACGTCGAACTGATATTGTTGAAGTTCGAGCGCCCACCTTGCGAATTCAGCCAATTCAACGCCAGATGGTCCGTCACGACTTCGAACCGATACCCTTCAAGGTAGCAACGCATTTTCCGAATGGCCCATACGATCGCGAGGCATTCTTTCTCAGTTACTGAGTAGTTTCCTCGGCTCGTGTTAATCTACGACTGGCGTAGGCTATGAATCGCTGTACTCCGTCGATGCTCTGAAGCAGGACTGCTCCTAACCCGTGATCGCTAGCATCGGTTTGTAACGAGAATTTCTGAGTAAAGTCAGGGCACGCAAGCACTGGGGCTTCAGTGATTCGGGTCTTTAGTGTTTCGAAAGCTTGTTCCTGTTCCGTGCATCGGGTATGGATCACGCATTCAACTGCCGATGATCCACGCACATGCGATATTAGATGTGCCCTTCAGATGGTCGAACTTGTCTAGCTCGGTCTGCAGAAAAGCACTCACCCTCGGATCCATAGCTTCCGGCGCCGTTGTCAAGCTCGAGTTGGTGTCGATGATGGCCAGACTTTCCTCGCATCGGAAGTCTATCGACGACGATTGGTTGGGCCTGGATTTCGAAATCAAACTCTTCTGGTCGATAGAGGTGGTCCTGGACCTTGCCGGAAAGGGTTACGCTGCTGAGCCGTCTGGTTTCCTCTGGGCAAGGCCGCGTTGTCCCTCGCTGGAATTTCCATGGTTTCCTCGTTGCCTCGCAGGATTTCAGAAGGAGCAGCCACGCACTCCTCGTTCGGTGCGTTGTCCATCGCTGGAATTTCCAGGGTTTCCTCTTTGCCTCGCAAGATTCCAGGAGGAGCAGCCACGCACTCCTCGTTCGGTGCGTTGTCCCTCTCTGGAATTTCCATGGTTTCCTCGTTGCCTCGTTGCCTCGCAAGATTCCAGAGGGGGCAACCACGCACTCCTCGTTCGGTGCGTTGTCGCCGATCGCTGGTTAGTTCAGCCCTCGAGTCCAGTTGCAATAATTCTCCACCGCAGCTAATGGTGGCCTTGATGCCGCAAAGGAAATCGATTCCTAGCAGGAGATCATCTAGTACCGTGGGCATCACTAGCAAGAATAACTTTACTTGTTGGAGACCCAGGTGGATGGTTACTACCAGGCCCCTCTTAAGGTCACGGTGGGATCCATCGGCCAATCGGATCCGGGTGCGAATCTCTCGCCAATCTCTTCCACGACCGATCTCCGCTGCTCGTTGTTCGCTAATGAAGCTCCGTGTGGCTCCCGTATCCATGGTGGCCTTAAACGGTTTCCCTTTGATGCGGACCTGTGCCAGGATCCTGCCCTGCTCTAACTTTAAAGCTTGACTTACTGGTTTGGGAAGTCTCTCGGGTTCCTCGGGCGATCCCTGCATGCTCGAGGCCCGTAGCCGTTTCCCGATCTCCGGCAACATTCCACGGTGCGAAGGCCACGTCTGCCACAGTCCCAGAAGGATAAAATTTGCGGTTGTCGGCACTTCCGTTGGAAATGCCCGTTTTCCCTGCAGTTCCTGCAGGCGTTATGCACGTTGATCGGAGCCTCCGATTCCGGCATGATGGTCCATGTTGTATTTCGGTACCTATCCCTGTTGAGCCTTCCCAGTTCGAGTGCACACGCGCACCCATCGGGGCACCTTAAGTTTCTCGATGTGCTCCTGAAGACTTTTTTGATTCCCCTCTCCTCGGCTCCTTATGACCTCGAATTTGACTACGAGCTGTGTCAGTTCAGTTAATGTTCGAAAATCCTGACGCCGAGTGTACAGTTAGTACTCAGGCAACATATTTTCGTACACGCGTTCAAGTTCTTGCGCCATGGTGCATCCTGCCCGCTGCATCAGTATGCGGAGATCGATCAAATAGAATTTAAACAGCTCACCTGGTCGCTGCGTATGTGTCCGGATTTGGACTTCCAGGCTTTGGAAGTATCGCGGCGGTAAGAAAAACTCTAGAAACTCCTTTTTAAAAGTTTCCCATGTTGTGGCCTGCAGTCTGCTCGTACGAAACCAGCTCTCCGTCTCCGGCATCGCTTGGGGTAGCGTCCGTAGGTCGACTTGATACGTGGCTGCCCTTTTTTTTCGATATGTTCCATAAATCGTAGTGGGTCGCCGGACACGTCAAAAGTAAGCCCCCATCGGGCCATTTTGTCCACTAATGTGGCGCAGGAAGTGACCTCAGGTCGCGCCTGTGCCCCACGACGTTCGTCGGTCTGTAATAGCGTGGTTAAATTAGGGGCAGAAGTGGTCCGTGGTAACTGGAGAGAGTTGCTCCTACAGCCGCCAGGTCCTTTTTCGTTCGGGTGGTCGACCACGACAGAAAGGGGCGACTTTTGGTCAGGAGTAACGGCGTTCCCGTACACCGTTTCCATTTTTGCCAACTTTGTCTGTGTTTCCGGTGACAGATCCTCCCGCCTCGAAAACTCGGCGAGTCGTTGGCGCAACTCTTTGACAGTTCCACTGCTATTTAACCCGAACGCAGCGGTCAAGGTCTCGAGTTCCTGTTTTCGACGATACGAGATCCACTTGACTCCCATTACGTAAGGGTCTACACGGAACTCTTGTCACGAGACGTTCTTGGTTTAGGTTTTCGGTGGTACTACGAATTCTTTTGAAATTGTTTCGATGGGCACGGTCTACGACGCTGATTATTGTTCAGAATCCCTGCCGTGAATGTTAAATTAATTGGGATTTATCTGCGCGGTGCACGTGGTTCACGATTTTACATTTTTGTTCACTACTCGCTTGATTTGTACAATTGACGACGATAAAATCTTGTTGGTCTTGAACGATGTTGTCTGCTTGAGTTCTCACGACCGACTGTCCTTATGACGATGCGTCCCGATGACGATGCGTCCCGATGGCGGAGCGATCACTTTGCCCTCGTCGGCTTTGTTCGGGTCGGCCTAACGCACTTGGGTCTCTTCTTACTATGGGTGTATTACGAGCGTGCGAAGGCTATCTTCGTCACGAATGTTAACAAGTTTATATATATTTTTTTCAATAACATTTCCATGGTGTATTCATTAATATATATTTACTTCTCTGCCGTTCTTACAAATTTTTCAGCTTCCTAATGACCCCTTGACAAAACTTTCAGACACCCAATGGTGGAAAACAAAATGATCTAGTGGTTCTTTAGGCCACGATGGTTGGAATTTTCCCCGAATTTTCCTCAACGCGTCCCTGCTCGGGCGCCAATCTGTAAGGATGCTTTTAGCTGAGGTCGGCGTCTCAGTCCGCCCAGGATCCTCATCAGATAAAATTTGTTATCTTTGAGACAGTTGAGGGGCGGGTATCACTATGTTTTCTTTGGTAAATTTTTACTCGGGCCACCGAGTCGTGTACAAATTGCTGTCGACCGGCCTGGACATGCACCGGCGGCCACATAGCGGTTGACACTACAGTGAAAACTCTATGAAAATGCCTGGGGAGATATAGACAGCGTAATTGTAGCTAACACTAGAGGCACAAACTATTGCGAACAGGCCCGGGATACTCGCAGACGGCACTGTCGTAGCTAATCCTGCTGAGAAAAACCTCTACGAAAATGACCGGAATTCTCACAGACGGCATAATCGGAGGTAACACTCGTTGCACAAAGTATTTTAGCGTTTTGATTTTGAGTTACTCTCGTTTTATTTCAAGGGTTTACTTTTCTATGGCCTGTCGCACTCATTATGCTCACCCTGCTTGCCGAAGCCAGTGTTCTGGTTTTTTCGCTCCGCGTTCTCTTTTTCTCCTGCGCCACAATTTTTGAACTTCACGCGCGTCGTTCCCGCTTCAAGTCTCTGATCGCCGTGTGACCGTTACTCTCTTTTCCAGAAAACCTTTCCTGTGAGATTTCATCGTGGTGGTTTCTTTCTGGTATTTTCTGTGGCGTAATCGTGGTTTGTGGAGACTGACTTCGGCGGGGAAACTTAACTATTATCCTAGCTTATTCGATAGTTTTGGCGGCCACTGAGGGCTAATTCCAATTATAAACTTCATAATTAACGTTTCTTAACCTACTGCTTAAACTTACATCTAACAAAATCATAAAACTATATTTAACTAAAAATTTGATTTTTCACAAGACTAACATCATGTCTGGCGGATATCCCAAACTTTCAGCACTTCGATCCAAAGCACAAAATGCAATTAATCGCAGACGCCAGTCCGGTTGCATTAGGAGCTGTATTACTACAATGTCATGGAGACGATGAGCCGAAAATAATATCTTTTGCTAGTCGAAGCCTGACAGATGTCGAAAAGCGCTTTTAACAGACCGAAAAGGAGATCCAATCATTAGTGTGGGCAGTAGAAAAATTCTTCTACTACCTAGCTGGTCTAGAGTTTGAATTGATAACCGATCATAGGCCACTAAAGACCATCTTCAAACGATTTTCGAAGCCGGCTGCAAGGATCTTACAATGCATTGTAAGAATAGCACGTGGAGGCAAGACCTTGAAACGTGAGCCATGTGAAAAAGATTCCACAAACACAGTCAGCTGAAGTACAGGTGGCGTTCTGCAGCCTTCCCATTTTAGGACACCGGCGAAACCAAAAAAAAATGGAATCGACTACTGAGACGACATCGGCTGAAGCTGAAGCTCATCAATAAGGGAGTGATGTGGGAGCCGGTACCTCCGATCATCTCTGAGAGCGAGAGAGCGAGTCAAGATGACTCTAAATAACATTCCACTGTTAGTCTAATTTAATGTAAAGCAGTGTAAATCTATGAGCCGAAGAGTACGGAGCACAGCGGCAAATATATGATTGAAACTGTTACTAAATGTTTGTATTATTGGTACAATTACTGGGTTAATATACGAGCTGAAAGATAAATTAATCGCACAAATATAATTAGTTCAAGCAGATTATAATAAAAAATGTACTCTAACAACTGATGCATTTGATTTACCTATTGGTGCTTTTCTTTCTTAGGAAGGAAAACCAATTACATTTATTTCAAAAACTCTAAACAAAACAAAATAATTATACGCAACAAATAAGAAGGGACTTTTAGCCATAGAATGAGCTTTTAAAAGTTTGCGGATTTATTTATATGGCTTAATAACATCGAGATCCGAACAGGTTATAAGCCTCTTTCCTTCTCTATTTCTCAAAAAAAAAACCAAATATCTGTAGTAATAAGAACTATGTAAGCAATCCCTCCTAGTCAACTTGGCCAAAGTAGTTTTAAGTTAGTTATATTATATTTTGTGTGTAACCCTGAATTTATATATTGTATGTGCGATCCCTGGTAAAAAGTATCGATATGTTCATCGTTTTCTGCCATAGGCATAAAACGAAGGGAAAAAAGGAACATTCAAGAAAGCGTGGCCGTAGTGATCGGAAGCAAAAGGAGAATAAAATCAAGAACACTATAATTCAGAAGTGGTAACTGAACCTAAGCAAGTAAAATAGGCATATGTCTATTAACATGGCTTCATGCATTAATCTCGGCGAACTCAAATTGATCGAAATCAAAAGTTTCTGTGAAAAACTTGGCTTGTCCACAAAGGGAAACAAAGTTGCACTAATTGCGCAGTTAGGTGCGGTACTACCGGAGTACTCCGGAGTTGTACTACGAAAAAGTGGAGTCTTCTGGTGAAATTGGTGCTGAGATGGCTGACGCCAAGGCAGTCAACAACAACAACGAAGACCAAGGCGGTGAGATGGCTGTCGCCAAGGCAGTCAACAACAACAACGAAGACCAAGGCGGTGAGATGGCTGTCGCCAAGGCAGTCAACAACAACAACGAAGACCAAGGCGGTGAGATGGCTGTCGCCAAGGCAGTCAACAACAACGAAGAACACGGCGAAGAAGAAGATGAAGACGTTTACGGCGACGAACTTAAGCTTGTCGAGACGATTGATCGTGATGGCATTCAACTCGAAGGAAACGGCGTTCAACCAAACCCTTCAACTTTTAGCGTGCTACGAAGTGAGTTGGGTGGCAACGCTGCGGGCATGGAACAGGCGATGCAAAATTTACATTTCGAAAATGCTGACCGTCTTTTAAAGCCAGAAATGAATTTAAACACCGTCAAAGAGCTCCTCCCAGAATACAACGGCAGTGGCAACATAAACGAATGGTTGTTGATGGTTAAAAATGTTCGAAATGTGTTCAAAGTCAGTGATGACGTCATGCGTCCATTAATTTGCTCGCGTTTAAAGGGCAAGGCTAATTTTTGGCTGTTATCTCGCCCATCACTGTTGTCTGGAAGTATTGACCTGATTTTGGCACAATTAAAAATTGTTTTTGGAACCAAGGATAACGTATTGGAAATGCGACGCAAGTTTGAAAACCGCAAGTGGCAGTTCGGCCGTTTACTATTTTGACAAGCTTACTCTGGCACAAGACGTCGCTATGACTGTTCACGAACTAGTTCAGTATTTGATAGATGGCATACAAAATGTACAACTTAAAAACCAAGCGAAGTTACTACGTTTTGCAGTGCCTGCTGATGTGTTGGAAGCCTTTCAAGATGTAGAGAAACCCAAAGCTCCAGTACAACAAGGTAGGATGCAAGGTACGTCTTTACCAAACGCCGTGACCCCGGAACAGAGGGTCATCAAATGCTTTAACTGTCACAGTTTTGGTCATCAGGCTAAGGAATGTCGCAAGCCTGTGGAGAAGTTGGACACTTGGCTAGAGAGTGTTCATTGTACAAGAAGAAAGAGAATAACAACGAATATGTAAGAAATTTGAAAGTTCAATTTAAAAATACGATACATAATTCTAATAAATTGTATTCCATAGAGTGCCTCATAGATTCGGGAAGTCCCGTTTCGTTTCTAAAGAAATCCGCAGTTCCCAGTAACGTAATCATTGATAAGGACAAGTTGAATAATATTTCTATCTACGGAATAAATGAAAGTAAACTAAATATAATTGGAAAAACAGTTTGTTTAATTATAAGTTCAAATAAAAACGTATTAATTGAATTATTGGTTGTAACTGATGAATCTGTAAGGTACTCAATGGTAGTAGGACGCGATTTTCTAAATCTAAGTAATTTTAAACTTGTACAAGTAGTTAACGATGTTAACCATTTATCTGTTAAGCCAGTGGGTATACATTTAGTGGAAAAATGCGAAAGTGATTTATTAAACAAAGTAAAAGTCAATGTAGAGAAACAGGTAGATGTAGAGACAAAAGTAGAGAGCGATCTTGGAAACAATAACAAAGTAGAAGTCAACGTAGAGAAGCAGATAGAAGTAGAGAAAAGAGTAGAGAAGTCGAGCAAGCCCGAGGTAGCAAAATGTTTAGAAGTTGTAGCGGATACTAATGTTGAGGTCTATGAAGCTCTAGAGGACGATGTTGATACCAGATTAGACAAAATCGTTGCGAATGAAGAAAGTTACAAAGTGGATTCATTTGATAGAGATATGCTTAATATAAATGTTATTTGCGATGGTAAAGCGACGTATACGATAGGAAAAGAGGTGAGCCAAGAAAATATAAGTAAGCTGAAGTGTTTGTTCAAGATATTTTACGAAGAAGCTGATCGTCCAATGGCACCTAAAATAAAATGTATAATGAAGATCACAATTGAAAGTGATAAACCGTTTCGGTGTCCCCCTCGAAGGCTGTCTTACGCAGAAAAGTCCGAAGTTCAAAAAATATTAGACGAGAATTTAGCCAATGGGTATATACGCCCAAGTGAATCCGAATATTTGTCGCCAATTGTTCTTGTAAAGAAAAAGACAGGAGAACTTAGAATGTGAGTCGATTATCGTCGTCTTAATAAGGTCACTCTTAAAGATAATTACCCGATTCCGTTAATTGACGATTTATTGGAAAGATTAGCGAATAAAAAATTCTTTTCGAAGCTTGATTTAAAAAACGGATTTCATCACGTGTTCATGGATGATAATTCTATTAAATATACATCTTTTACCACGCCACTAGGGCAGTTTGAATTTCTAAGAATGCCGTTTGGCTTGACGAATGCACCACCAACATTCCAAAGATTTATTAACAAGATATTTGCTGATATGGTACGACCAGAAAAAGTAGTGATTTATCTTGATGACATTATGATAGCGACGGAGAGTTTGTATGAGCATTTCGAAGTTTTAAAGGAAGTTTTGAAACGTATAGTTGAAAACAAATTAGAGCTGAGACTTGATAAATGTGAATTCTTGCAATCATCCATTGATTACTTGGGATATACAGTCAATGGAGATGGGATAAAAGCGAACGAGACGGGTTTACAAGCAATTAGGTCTTTTCCAGTGCCTTTAAAAGTCAGTGAGGTCTCAAGCTTTATAGGGTTGTGCTCTTATTTTAGAAGATTTATTAAAGATTTTTCTATTATTGCAAAGCCACTTTACGATTTAACCAGAAAAGACAAGAAGTTTGTTTTTAGCAAAGAAGAACTAAATGCATTCACTATACTTAAGGAAAAGTTAATAGAAGCTCCAATTTTAGCAATATATAATCCAAGAGATGAGACGGAGTTGCACTGTGATGCAAGCTCATTAGGTTATGGCGCAATATTATTACAAAGAAAAAGGGATAACAAATTTCACCCTGTCTTTTATTTTTCGAAACGTACAACCGATGTGGAGTCAAGATACCACAGTTTCGAATTGGAAACCTTAGCAATAATAAACGCATTAAAAAGATTTCGAGTTTATGTACAAGGAATTAGATTCAAAATCGTAACTGATTGCAATTCGTTAACTTTGACTTTAAATAAAAAAGAAATAAACCCCCGTATAGCAAGATGGGCTTTAGAGCTTCAAATTTATGACTACGAGCTTGAGCACAGGTCGGGAAAAAGAATGCAACATGTGGATGCACTTAGTCGAAGTAATAGCATTCTCGTAGTTGAAACAAATACTTTCGAAGAAAATCTAATTATATGTCAGGGAAGAGATGAAAATATAAGTAGAGTTAAAGAAATGTTATTAAATCAAGAGGATGAGCACTATGAATTACGAAATGGTGTCGTGTACAAGAAAAGTAACGATAGGCTACTGTTTTGTGTTCCACAATCAATGGAAGAAAATGTTCTGTACAAATACCATGACGAAATGGGGCATGTAGGAATTGACAAAGTAGCGGACCTTATCAATAAGAGTTATTGGTTTCCATGTATAAGAAAGAAAGTTGAGATTCACATAAAGAACTGCTTAAAGTGTATAGCATTTTCTAATAAAACAGGTAAAACTGAGGGTTTTTTACATCCCATTCCGAAAGGAACAAGTCCGTTTGAAGTCATTCACATTGACCACTATGGTCCGATAAATAGCAAGGAAACGAATAAGAAGCACATACTAGTAATAATTGACGCATGTACAAAATTCACCAGATTATATCCAACAAAAACAACTAGTTCCAGAGAAGCAATCGAAGCGTTAGAAAACTATTTCAGATCGTACAGTAGACCTAAAAACATAATATCTGATCGAGGCAGCTGTTTTACATCAAAGGAATTTGAGGAATTTGTTGTACAAAACAATGTAAGGCATATTAAAGTAGCAACAGCTTCGCCACAAGCTAACGGACAAGTAGAAAGAGTCAATAGAGATTTAGGTCCAATGATAGCAAAGTTAACAGATGTAGAGAATAATCAAGCATGGCACAAAGTTTTAGACAAAGTAGAGTTTACAATGAATAATACAAAAACCCGAAGTTTAAATCAATACCCAAGCGTAATGTTGTTTGGGGTTAGGCAGAAGAGTTGTTATATTGATAGTTTAAAAGAAAATTTTATTGATGATAGTCAAGAAATTTTGCACAAAGACCTAAACGAAATACGACTACAAGCTGATATATGCCAGAAAAAATCGCAAGGATATAACAAAAACTATGTTGATTCAAAACGACAAAAGCCGCAAATATTTTTTGAGGGAGATTATGTTGTTGTAAGAAATTTCAATTCGCAGCAGGGTGTGTCCAGTAAGTTAATTCCCAAATTTAAAGGGCCTTATGTTGTGTCCAAGGTGTTAGATAATGATAGGTACTTTATTGAAGATGTAGAGAACTTTCAGCAGTCATAAGTGCCATATTCTGGTATATGGGCGGTGCATAATATGAAACCCTGGCTTAATGGAAAAGAAAAAATTGATGTTCATGAAAGTTCAGATATAAAAGATAAGGAAATGAATCCTACGGAGGAAATTGGCAATACAAATAATATGATTGTAAACAGTAATACTGGAAATAATAGTAAAAACATAGATATAAACGACAATTGTAAAACAAATAAATATGGCCAAAGTAGCATTGTTACTAGAAGTAAGTCAACGAGTATCGGGAGATCCTCATAGTCAGGACGGCCGAATTGTAGTAATAAGAACTATGTAAGCAATCCCTCCTAGTCAACTTGGCCAAAGTAGTTTTAAGTTAGTTATATTATATTTTGTGTGTAACCCTGAATTTATATATTGTATGTGCGATCCCTGGTAAAAAGTATCGATATGCTCATCATTTTCTGCCATAGGCATAAAACGAAGGGAAAAAAGGAACATTCAAGAAAGCGTGGCCGTAGTGATCGGAGGCAAAAGGAGAATAAAATCAAGAACACTATATATCGAAATTAAAAGATGGTACTCTTTCACTGAAAGTTGTTCAGTTATACGCCAGGAGCAAAAATGTTGTTGAGAATGCTTGATCAAGAAGTCAAATAAATAACTTAACGGAAAGCATTGTAGTATGTACACATATAATCAATACCCACTGTAACACTTTGTTGCACGTGCTTACATAAACACAAGGCATGATTCGAGTTGACCGTAACACGATCAGCCGAGCTCTGCCTTGAAGACCATAAGTGCAGTACATACTACCTCTCTCGAGCTAGCCGCTGTCAGCAGCGAGAAGCATATTTATATATAAGAAATACATAAGTGCGGCCGGTCCACTGCCGGCATTCCCGGCAGCGCAGTTGCGCGGCCTTAGCTTTAAATACATTGTTAGATATAAGCCATTTAATTGAATAATGATCTGTCCACAAGCAACTTCGTACTTCTTTTAGACCTTCCTTAAATGGAGCCTTTAAAAATCAATATATAATATATATGTGTTTAAATAAAACAAACATAGATTCCAATCAAAAAACGGAAAAGGAGCGGACAACGCATAAAACTCCTTCAACACAGACGACTCATCAAGGATTATACAAAAATCGCAGACACAGACGAGGAAAGAGAAGAACCTGGAGGTGATCGAAAACCAACTTTGCAAACGTGCAAAGTAACGCATCAAAATCTGCATTTATGCCTTTTGGCATAAAGTCAATTTTTTTTTTTTTGTATCTTAAAATTTGCAAAAAGTTGTAAACGAGAAACTATTAACCAAAGTGTGCAGATTAATGGGAAACTAACTCTTTTTGTCCGAATCCACACGTTTTCGAAAAAATCCAAATTTTCTTGTACAATATGTGTTCAGTCGTGCTGAGCTGGTTGACATTTTAAGCAACAACAATCGCTCAGGAGACGCCGTACAACAACACATATTGAGAGTGATCGCACAAAAACATTTAGATAAGGAAACCATAAAGTCGATTAAGGAAAAAGTGAAAGGCTTTGTTAGTTATTTAAATAAACACTTGCCTAAATTTAATTCAACTCAAGAAAGATCAACAAAATGTCTTGGGAAAAGCTTGTTCATAGAAATCACTGGTCATTATGCATTGGCAAATAAAGTGGGTCGCCCAAAATGTGATTACGAAAGCGCTGGTCCTTGGCCGAAAAGAAAATTAGCCGCTGAACTTTCAGAGGAGAATAACAACTTATCTCCCTTACTCATGCATGCTGCCACAATAAAAATGTTTAATGGAGCTTTTTTGCATGTCGGCCAGATTGGTTATATGGCAGCTA